ATTAAAGCTCTACCTCTCATGATAGAATCTCTAACATAGACAGGTCCAGCACAAACACTCCAGCAAGATTACATGACCGACAATGGAGACTAACTCTTCCTTCTGATTTCACAACATCCATGGGTACTCTCAAATATTCCAAACTCACTCCTGTTACTAACATGGGAAAAGATATCACAAAGAAGATTAATTATAGTTTTCTACCTGAGGAAACAATTATTCCATCTGACCAAGTTATCATTTTGCCTATTACCATTACCTCTGGAAAAGACATGGCAAGCACTTTTAAAGGGAATATACTTAAGCACAAAGATTTTATAGAGAGTGAGCAAGCTGCTGAGTATGAGAGAAATTATTTTATAAAAGACATCTCAGAAAGGAAGAAGTCACTCCAGTGTATGCAGATGATATAATTATTATATCTGATGGCAGTGGCTCTGAATATGTCTCAGATGACTCTGTCTTGGAATTAGAGGATAAAGCAAATAATTCCTTTATAACAATGAGTACACTCAGATATGCTCCTAAGAGACATATGTCTCATGTGCTGTATACCACAGTGGCTCCTTCAGATAGTCTCTCGAAAGCAACATCATCAGAGTTCAAAGATAAAGAAAATTACCAAGCCATAATTCCTAGACAGAAAAACAAGAACTCTGACATCGAGGCCATTCTTTTCAAAGATCCCTATGTCAATGTCAAAACCAAACCTCAGAGACCCACAACTCACTTCCTAATCAAGGCAAGTAAAAATCCTTCTAGATTTTATGACAAAACATCTGTGAAAAAAGGTGCCATAAATGGTGATGATGACATCATAATTCCCTCTGGAAGCTCTGACTTTGAAAATGAAATAATTGAGTATTCCATTTTTTCATATGTAAAACCAGTAGTTGACAACAGAAAATTCACAACTGATAACACTAATCATGTTATCAAAAGTAGTTATAGCTTGTTCAGAGAAAACATATCACCTACCACTTATAAGACATTTACACCCAGCAAGGCAGACACTATCATATCCAGTATATCTGATTTTGCTGAAGATGAAACAAGCATAGCTGTGGCATCTGATTGAAGGTTTAGTGATTTTTCCTTTAGCTCAGCTTTCTAGTGATGAGATTTTCAATGTGGATAAAAACACAGCTCTTACTTTTTCTCCTTTGAGAAAGATGTTTTCCGTTAAACCAAATGTTCCTGCTATCTCCACTGAGAACAGAAGTAACATTGCCATTTCAGCCCTTCATCAAAGAGTGTTATGTCTCTAAAACCTATATTTGTTAGAGTGCCTAAACTCTCATCTTAACTGCTAATTCTCATAAGGGAAAACTTATATCATCATCCAGCAACGTTAATTTCAGCAGCATTAGAGCCTATGCCAACAGATTTCCATTACTTTAAGGAAGATATTACCTCAGGAAGACAAAACATTGAAAGTCAAATTGTCCTGAACATTTTTCCATTGGTCTGTATTGTTCTTCAAGTTAATTACATTGACTCTTCAGACAATATCAAGATGTCAAACCTAATGCATCTGCTACTCTTGTTACCAGGGACAAAAATTTTGATGCTGATGCATCCGCAATTTGAAATTCAGGATCTAAGAAAACAAGCACCAAGTGTTCTATTTTTATTCCTAATGAATATAATGATCTGAATTTCTATTACACAAGAGAAATAATTAAAGCTTTTACAGTGAAAAACACAGCTAGTGAATTTTAAGTGAATCATCTTATAGATGGAAATATAATAGGAAATGATACAGTTATCCAGATGGAAACAAACTCTGTACAAAACGCTGACCAAAACTCTTATGAATGAATCTCATTGCTGGTGACAAATCAGTCAATAGGGATTATGACAGTGTCCCTGTAGCAGCTTATTCAAGCTTTCCCACACCCAAGGATTCCCTCCCAGCTAGATCTGTTTCTCATGAAACCAACTTCATAGCCAGGGACTCAGATTGCTAACACAGTTATTGCCTTTATTCCTACTGATTAAAAAAATAATAATTCATCTTACACAGAGGTCATTCTCCTGGTAAAAGGAAATCCTCAGCTGGAATTAAATATAGCCAATAGCAGAAAAGCAAATACTGAATTTCAACCTTCAGAAACCACTAATGTTACTCATGAATCCATTGTTGATATGAAAAAGGTATTACCTAGAGTAAAATAAATTTCTCTTTTTCCACAAACTAACAAGGAAATTGAAGAAAACACTTTAATTAGGGATGATATTTCTCAGTTATGGGTAAAAACAATTACTCCAAATCCCTGGGGATCCTACAAACAGCAAAGTAGATATGAAGATTGTGACTTATGCTGCTGTAAATGTCATCTTCCTTGGAAGCAAAGAAATAGCTAACAGACCAACATACCCTTCAACAATTTCTTTAGTCATGCACACAAATTCCAAACACTTGAGGGAAAGAGGACAAAACTGTGGATGTTGACATAACCAAATCCCAAAATGTGACTGTTCCTGTCACTTCTTCCACTATTTCTGAAGATGGAAATTATTTTGTGAGTGAAGATATTGAAACTGGAACTTCTTTAGTGACTTCATTATGATTATAATCATCTCAATTAAGGTTCATAACTTATTTTCCTCAGTAAATTCATAGACTCTGAAGATACATGTAGGCTTTTGCTAAACAGGAATTCTAGTGTTCATAGGAGACACCACTTATCTAACAGCTGATTATTTTAAAATCACACATGACACTTCTTCTGATGAATCTCAAGATATTCTCCATACAAGGAAAGTCTCAATGTGGACATCAGTGTGACACTGGCATTTTCAAAGTCTGTTTCTAAAGACTCTTTCCCTAGTCAAGTATCCCTGAAAAATCATATGTGTGCCAAATAACCTTCCTGGGGTTTTACTGAGAAATCTTCTCCCTTTATTAGCAGTTTTCACCTTGTCACTTAAATGTAAGGAATATACTCTGAAACACATGTCAATATATATAAATGTAATACTTGCCTTGAAAAAGGTAAAGTGTTCCCATTAGTGTAATAGACACTCCAACAATGGAAGAAACTACTATTGAGATTAAATAAAACATCTATAGAATCTGATTCTCCGTCCTTAAGTCAGATAATGTCTTCAATGGCAGTGATCATTTGGTCAAAAAGGAGTATACTATTATGTATTCTCTAGAGCACATAATTCCAGTTTCATCCTCAAGACAGCTGAAATTCATGTGGTTCCACCAGGATCTTCACCATATGCTTTCCTCTCTTTGATGGATGACGCACTCAATCTAAAGCATTCTTTTGAAGAGCAGTGTTTTTGAAAACTTAGATAATTTTAATAGCATTCCCTTTAGAGGAGGAACAATTATGCTGCAATCAGTGTGATCCTGCCTCACAGCTGTACTAGTGGAAGTAGAGCTGGTATGATCACAGAAGTAACTTCTGAAATTAAAGACTATCAGATAAATTAATATCAATGAAAATGATGTAATTATTTCAACTAACATATCTACTTGGAGATGAAATGCTCATAAAACTATATATTTTATAGCTTATTCCAGCTCTCTTTATCATTACAAATACCTAGTCTCACAAGATATCTTCTAGCAAATATACAGTAACGTTTCCATCTTCTTTTTTCCTTTTTGTACACAAAAAACCTCCCCCAAAGTAGGTACCATGTCTTCTGTTTACAGCATATATTCTGAATTAAGTTTTATAAGCATTAGATGATGAGGGACAAAAATAGAAGTTAAGAAAATCCTCCCACTAAGTAAGCTTACTCGGAGAATAACTTTACCCTGTGGCTTTCCTTACTGGCACAGGAACTTATGGCATTTCTGTTTAGAAACTTATTTTTACAAAAAAAAAAAAAAAAGATAATATATCCTCAACCAGGCTAATTGTCTAGAGAGAAAGCTAAAAACTTTGAAATTGAGTTCATATTTAATAAAGAATAATTCTTTGTCCTTGAGATTGAACTCACTATTCAGGCTAATGTTGCTGCCCTTTCTCAGATTTAGTCGTGTCTGAGTATGAAAATTCAATTTCTTCTAACAACACTGGGAAAAGACTCGTTTTAACATTAACACTAGACAGCAATCTGCTTTCATCTAATTTACCTAAACCTTAAGGTTGATAACACAATGATGATGTTTGATATAATTAGCACTATTATTTAGAAAACTCCCTCTGAAATTAAAAATATAGTTCTTAACAATAATGTAGTTATCCACATTTGATTCTTATTTCTGGGTGAATTTTGACACATAATACCAGCTTTCTGCCAGTGATAACCGTTCCTGCCTTTTGTAGTTAAAATAACAGCCAATGCAGAAAAACATTCCTAAACAATTTTAACATACAAAACTTTAGACTCTCACTGTTACTTAAGTAAATTCCAGAAGAAGTAGGAAATGCAATGAAGAAAAAAACAGTAAAGACCCTAACAGTCCAGTAACTATTTGTTACTATCTCTACTGAAAATGTGAGACTTCCTGTTATGAAGCAGGGAACTAACTGAATTCCCGGCTACTTAATTATCTCTGTAGCTATACTTACTGCCAACAACACCATTAATTTTTTTAGATACCAATTTTTTTTAATACCATGAATCTTAAGGGAAAATGGCTTTACCTCAAAAAGACTCTGTTACTTATTTGGAAGACAGACCACTTTAAGCTGATGCTGATAAACTTGTGGCTTCCAGAGTTTTTCTTACTAATACTAAATCCACAAGATACCTGGCAGTCTCTGCTATGCCTGTTTCAAGTGACCCTACCTCCATATCAGGAGACATTTTTCTTATCATCTGCAACATGGTAAATCTTAAGTTCCGTGAAATTGAAATGCTTGGCTGTGAATTTGATTCCGTAATCAGAGTGGACCCTATTGTCTTTTCATCCAACATCAATACTCCTGCAATCAGATGACCAATCACAACACAGAAACAACCTCCAAGGAGAGCCAGTGCCATTGCCTCCATAGCTGATGCAACAATCACCATGATGACCCAAGCTTTAATCACTCTGATGAACACTGCTCTCCTGCCCACAGACACCACCAAGCCCAGAAGCAAGACCTCTGAGAGTCCCTCACCCCATGGCTGAAGATGGTTTGCCTAAAATTTATTCTCATCCTCCAACAGAAAGCAGTAAAACACCAACTGCAGCAACTATTTTCTTTGGGGCTGACAATGTTATTCCCAAAACAGAAACAACTATTACTTCAGAAGGAGACCATGTCACTTCAGTAAATGAGTATATGCTAGAAAGTGATTTTTCAACAACTACAGGCAACAAACTTACACCTACAAAGGAAAAACTCAAATCAGAAGACGATATGGGGATCCGCTTTCCTAAGTCAACAACTCACCTAGAGAAAGAAATTACCTCTCTGACTGGCACTACAAACTCTACAGAAAGAGACTCTATTGCTGAAAATTTCATGCCGGTGAAAATTGGGAATATTTCATCACCAGTTGCTACCGTTTCTTTAATTGATTTTTCCACTGACATAGCAAAAGAAGGTATCTTCTTGGCTACCACTGACACAGGAGATGCAGAGATCTCAATAACATCTGAAGCCTCTGGCACACTAAAGGACAGCAGTGCTGGTGTTGCTAACACTCCTGCCTTTCCACATAAAAAGGATGAAGCTGATATAAACGATTGTAATTCCTCCATCAAATCCAATGTCCCTGCTGATGAGGCTCTCCAGATCACTGATTCCATTATTCCTGAGCATGAAATCCCTTCTGCTCCTGAAAAAAACTTCACTACTATTCCAGACATAACTGCCCTTAAAGAAGAGAAAATAACCAAAATTGGCTTAAGTGTTTCAGAAGATGACACCAGTGCTGTGGCTACATTTATTGAATCTGATGAAGAAAAGTTTATCACTGTGTTTGAACTCACTACCTCTGCTGAAAAAGACAGAGATAACCAGGAAGATACCCTGCTAACTGATGAAGAATCTACCGAGGGAGCAAATATCTGGATGGAGAGAGATACTACAAATGAAGCTGAGACCCATTCTGTTTTGCTTACTGCTGTTGAATCCAGATATGACTTTGTTGTCCCTCCATCAATAGCTACAAACATGGTGAAAGAATCGTCTACAGAAGATTTGTCTAAAACTGATAGAACAGAGACTGTACCTAAAATCACTGAGCCATTTTCTGAAACTACCTCTGTATTAGATACCCCAAACTATGAGGAAGACACCTCCACAACTGGAACAGGTATCTTTGAACTACTGAAAGAAGATCCAGATGAGTTCATGATTTGAAAGCAGGAAGAGGGATACCATTGTGCAATAATGTAGCAAATTAGAATTGCGCAATAACCTAGCAAACTAGTCTTAACATCTAAGAAGCTTTTCCAACAAGCAAAAACCTATAGAAATGAAAGAATGTGGGCATTGAAGGCAAGTATTTAACTTAGTAAATGCAGATACACAGGACTACAGATCATGCAGCAAATTTAAGGCAACCTAAAAAAAAAAGCAGTGTAAGAGTTCCCCTAGTATCACAAAGTTTCCATTGTCTCACAATTCCTTAATGTAAAATTTTTCAGCCTAGCCTTCAGAGAGTACAAAGACAGAGCAATGTAAAAGCTCACTTCGTATAATGTTTAGCGATGCATATCATTTAGTTAATAGTCAATTTTATATTTTAGTGAGAATTAAGGATATGAAGAGAATCAAATTAACATCTCAAAAACATTACCATAGCACTAAAAAGTTCTCCCAAAATGCTTGTTCTAAATAATTTTCTCATTAGTATTCCACCAATGATTTTCTTCTATTTGAAAAATTTTTAATCCTTGCTCATATAAGAATTAAAACAATTCGGTAATTGTTTAGCACCTACATGTAAGATACATAAGATTTGTGATAGGGTTCTTGGCACATGTTAGATACAAACTAAAGCAAAATGATATTTTACAAATATGCATATTTGTCAGAAAAATATTCTGTAAACATATATATCAATTTAATTTTCTTTCTGTTAAAATATGTTTTCTAAATTTTTGTTCATGTTTTCCAGGTCATAATCACTGAATATCACACGCTTCTTATGATTCTTGTTAGCAATTCAAGGACATAAATCTTCATTCTTTTCTGGTGCAGACTACTTAAATGGGTCTGTTTTCACTTTGCTAATTTTCTTCAATAAATCTTTTTGGCAAGCAACTAATTTACTGTGTGTAGGTGTGTCTGATATTCTAGTACAGAATTCTCAAATTAGGAAAAATAAAGAGAAATGAAAATCCATTGTTTGTTTAAAGAACAACATAGCTCTAATCATCAGAAGTAGAATTATTTTATAGAGATTCATAATTGTATTACATTAAAAAAATGAAATAAAAACAATGCCAAAACACTGAGTGAATGAAAGACATTATGTATGGGGAGCTTGTATAGGAATTTGCACCATTAGATAAACTATAGACTAGAATAATCATGATAGTGTATTAAAACTCAGAAATGCAATTAAAAAATAAATAAATAAATAAATAAATAAAAATAAAATAAATTAAAAAAACTCAGAAACAAATTATGACACAAAAAATAATTATACAGTGAAGTGGACTTCAAAAATGTGAAATATAATAGTTAATATTACTTGAACAATCAGTATTTAGGAAAAAATTAGTTGGAATAATAAATTTTTACACTATGTTTAAGACAATACTTTAAAATAAATTCTACATGGACTAAAGACTTTAATGTAAAAAATAAACCCATATAAAAACTCAGGAGGAAATATACCTGTATATCTATCCAAATGAACCTGAGAAATCTAAGTACGTATGAAAAGGTGTTTAAAAGATTGATAGGTTTAACATCATGAATAGTTAAAATTCTGAAACAAAGAAAATCAATATAAAATTAAAAAGTAAATAATTTCATTTCACATAGTAGTGAAAAAAATTAGTATTGTTTTTCTTTAGAAGTTTCTACAAAGAATTTTAAATTAACAGTAGAAATAAACATAATTTATGAAACACAAATTGTCAATGAACATGTGAAAAATATTTAATACATATATTCAAAATATTGAAATAAAGCTATTACACATCAGTTTTAGCCATTTGAGGATTGACAGTGATTACTGTCCATATTCCTTGTTGACTCATTTTCCAAAGTTTCTCCAAATTTCTCCAATCTTTCTGGAAAGCTGGAAGTCAATTTGGCAATACATGTAGCAAGCATTTTAAAAATTTGAAGCTTTTGGCCCAGTTATTTTGCCTATTTTAGCCCTGAGAATTTTCCTACGAGTCAGAAATTATGAAAGTTCTAAGAGTTACTGAGCTCTGACCACTGGGCAGACACAGTTGTATTTATATTTAGAATAACATTTGATCCTCATGTTACCCTAGAATGAGAAATATTATTATTCTCATTTTAGTGATAAAGAAACATTCAGAAAAGCTATTCAACATGCACCAAGATTCATGGTTAATATGTAGCAAAGAACACTTGAAACCCAGGCAGTTTTCCTCCAGAGCCCATGTTCTCTTAATCAGTATAGTGTATGGGCTCTCAGATTTAAATACAAGAATATTGGAAAACTCTTACACTGAAGAATGTGATTATATATGTTCATAAAGGAGAAACAATCTACAATTGTAGTTACATGTAATTAATTACACTTCTACATTTCCATATGAAGCCATAATCCACATCTTTTAAAATAGTTCTTAGGAAGAATATTTAATCAAATGGAGGATATTTTCATAAAATTCTAACCAAATTTGCATAGTGGTATGTATGCAATATACACACACATACACATACACACACATGCATAATATCTGGATTATATATATCACAATTAGCCTCTAAGGACTACAGGTGGATTTGTTTCATTCTCTGTGCTTCTTTGCATTTCTAAATCTCTGCAATCATCCAGAATTTAAGGTGTACACAGGAGAGGATGAATGTTTGTCAACTCCATTAACTAAGAAACCTAGAAGTCAAGCTAGATCTCTCACTCTACTTGCTTCCTATATTTAATAAAAATATTGGCTAGGCACAGTTGCTCATGCCTGTAATACCAGCACTTTGGGAGGCTGAGGCAGGCGGATCACAAGGTCAAGAGATCAAGACCATCTGGCCAACATGGTGAAACCTGTCTCTACCAAAAATACAAAAATTAGCTGGGCATGGTGGTGCACACCTGTAATCCCAGCTACTCGGGAGGCTGAGGCAGGAGAATTGCTTGAACCTGGGAGGCGGAGGTTGCAGTGAGCCAAGATCACACCACTGCACTCCATCCTGGTGCCTGGTGACAGAACAAGATTCTGTACCCACTCCAGAAAAAATTAGCTAGTATTTTCAGTGTTTCCTGTGTCAGACACTATTTTATTTTTCATTCCTAAGGTATGTGTATGCATCTACTATGTTCAAAGCACTATGAAAGTGTTTTGAGGCATGGTAGTGAATCAAATGACATCATCCCTGCCTTCCTGGAAATTAATCAACCATAAAAGACAAATTTTAGACAACCAATCTCAAATAATCACACTGAAAGAAATGACTACATGCAAAATGTCATGGGTGTTTCAAAGCAAAAACAGAAGATTATAATTGCAGATTTTTCACACATTTAAAGACCAAGAAAATGTCTCTGAGGAAGGGAGATTTAAAAATGTGGAGAGATGAGGAAGCAACACCTCCAAATTCTTGAGGCTAGATTCTTCAAGGATATGAACAGACATGGTATCAGCTGGAAAATAAGATGAAACTGGAAAGGCAGGCAAGAGACAAATCATACGGTACTTGTTAAACATCCTAGATATTAACTGTTTGGAAGCTATTAAAGGTTTTAATCACTTTATCCTCAAAACAATTTTAGTACTGAGAGCACTGGCTAGGCAAAAAGCAACATTATTTTATAAACTCCAACTATACATCTTTCAAAGATTTTGTTTAGAAAAATAGCTTGGTAGTCCCCTTTGTATGTAGGAGATACGGCTCTGAACCATAAACTGAACTGGAACAATTAAACAATTAAAAAGCTAATGTGGGGAGAAATGGTGGGGGTGGGGAGGTGGGACGAGATAGCATGGGGAGAAATGACAGATACAGGTGAGGGGAAGGAAGGCAGCAAACCACACTGCCATGTGTGTACCTATGCAACAATCTTGCATGTTCATCACATGTACCCCAAAACCTAAAATGCAATAAAAAAATAAAAAAAATTAAAAAAAAAAAAATAAAAAAAAAAAAATAACACACTCTCTCTGTACATATACAGGCATCAGTCCTGTAATCTTATAGTAGTCATAGCAGAACAGGTTATATGCAATAACAAACAACTTCAAAACTCAGCAATTGAACGCAATAAAGATTTATTTATCACTCACCAAAAAAAAAAAAAAAAAAAAAAGAAAATCATGCTTTGGATTTGTTTCTTTTTTATTCTTTCACTCTACCTGCAACCTGTACTTGCTACACTCTATCAAGCTCATCTTCTAATCTACATTTTTCTGCTCTGTGACTTAAACTAACACCCCCGTCATAGCTTCTAACAACTACTGCTTGGCTAAAAGAAATTAACATATCCCCAGTGAAGTTCCTCATTAATGGCATACAGTAAGCTGAAATGCCAAGTAACATTACAGGTCAGACACAAAAGATTCATAGTTACACTTATAGCTTTTATCATCTCAGCCATAGTCATCCTGGCAACTGCCAGGGTTGCAGTGGTGTCTATTACTGAGTCAGTATGAACAGCTGCCTTTGTAGATAATCTGGCAAAGAATGTGTCAAATAAACTTCTTTTACAGCAAGGTATAGATTAAACAATTCTTGCATGTCTGCAAGCACTTGAGGCTGCTGTAGAATATGGAGGGGAGCAACAGGATGCACTGGCATTCCGATAGCAATTAAGCTGCGACTGGGAACATAAACATATTTGTGTCACTTCTTTACCGTGGAATCAATCAGTACATGGTTGGATGAGGTGAAAAAACACATTTGGGGAACCTTTCAAGACAATTTAACAGCAGACATAAAACAACACCTAGAATCCCTTCACACTATACATCTACACACCCAACAAACAGCCATATGGAAAGGTGTGCAAGATCATCTCTCCTGGTTGGACCCCCATTCCTTGGAGTTGCTCTTAAACTGGATAAGAATATTGCGAATTGTAATAATAATTGTCTTATGTTATTTGTTAATCCCAGGATACACAGCAGGAATAAAAACAAGGACCACCTGGCCTGACATTGCTGAACACATCATTAGCCGGCAGACAACACAGCCTAATTTTAATAACAAATAAAGGGGAAGATGTTGTAATTCACTTGGGGTGGCTGGCAAAATACTAGGATAATATTAGGGAAAGTTATAGATTATAGTATTAAACCTTTTGGAAGGCCAAAAGGTTTTATTGGGAGAGGCTGGAGGCAGCTGGATCATTTACATTAGATTGGGGAAAAGATAGAGACAATAAGAGGCCTTCCCAATTAAGTCTGTTTACCCCACATCCCTTTGTCTCTACTCTGTTTACTCAGGTAAACTTTGTGCTCGATGGTCCTTTCAGGAGAAATTAAAGGGGAATTACCTGTTAATAGTGTTTACCATGGGACCCAGAACCTAAAATTTTATCATTTGTAAACCCACTTTTAACCATGTTAATTATCCACAAGCATGTTGACTTAAAACCTCTGTTATGAAATCTTTACTAAATAATATGAATATGGGATGGTGGTCTTGGTCAATTGGTGGCAGTCACCCTCTGAAAGCAGCCAACAACCATTCATAGCCCACTTGAATCACTGAAATACATGTCAGAGTGCATGTATTTATCTATCATTAAGTCAGGGTCTGCAGGACAGACCTCCACAGATGGTAATTGATGTCTCAGATCTTCATCAGAGTCACCACAATGGAAGCCCTGTTTATCTATCTAGCCTCATAATATGCTACTGTCATTTTCCATTCTTAAATTTCAACTATATAGATCTTATTTTTATCATCCTTAGAGCATAAAGCTATGTCTTGTATCAGGATCAGTGGACATGCTATGCTCTCCTATGGACATGCTATGCTATGAGTGAAAAATTCTTTAACTCACATTTTAAAGTATACCTAAATGTCACTTCCTCAGTTATATCCTCCCTGGATCCTAAATTTACATAGGCCCCTGTATTCTTCTGTCATATTAATCACAGTACAC